TTTGAATCGTGGAATTACAAAAAAGAAAAAACAATTCGATCATGGATTACAAAAAATTCAATCATGGATTACAAAAAACTCTATCATGGGTTACAAAAAAAACAAAAAACAAAAAATTCGATCATGGATTACAAAAAAAAAAACAAACAATTTTGATCATGGATTACAAAAAAAAACAAATAATTTCGATAATGGATTACAAAACATTCGATCATGGATTACAAAAAATTCTATCATGGGTTACAAAAAAAAAACAAAAAACAAAAAATTCGATCATGGATTACAAGAAAAAAAAACAAACATTTCGATCATGGATTACAAAAAAAAAAAAACAATTTGATCATAGATTACAAAAAAATCGATCAAGTATTACAAAAAAATCTATCATGGATTACAAAAATAAAAAATAAAAAAATAAAAATAAAAAATAAAAAAATAAAAAATAAAAATAAATAAAAATAAATAAATAAATAAATAAATAAATAAATAAATAAATTCCGTACAAGACTCGCCGATTCACTGTACGGGACTCGCCTATTCCGTACAGTGAATCGGCGAGTCACTGTATAGACTCGTCCAGTTCTCTTTAAAACCGGACGATTCCCGTTTTTTTCGCCGATTCAATCCGTCCATGACGATTCCCCGAATCCGGTTCGACTCGGCATTTTTTTAAACACTGTATTTGGCCTTTGAACGATCTGAGCTTCGACCATGCCCGCTCTTCAAAAGATGATTTTGGGGTTAATAATGAATCTCTCTCTCTCTCTCCCCTTACTTTGTCCTGCATTGTAATTCTTACTTGCGATAATCTTTCGTTTTTAAAAACATAAAGGTTGGGATTATGGTATGTATTGTACACAATGAGATTATTTATCTTTGATTTGAGTCTAATATGAAATTTGATAGCTTGGATATGTCACAAAATTAAAGATAATTTCTTTTTAACTTTGAGGTTGGTCAATGAAATAAATGCAACCATCCGATTTTACATTTAATGGTAAAAATTAATTATGAACACCTTCTACCAAAGGTAAATGATTTCATTGTATACTTTTCCTTTCCTAAATGTATGAAACTTGATTTGCTCTTTCCTTGAACCAAGTATTATCCATCTGTCATCTAGAAACGCAATTGGGATCAAAAGAGGGCTAATCGAACATAATAACATTTTCGAAACAATAGGATCCATCGATACTATGAAACCCAAAGAGAATATGAGCTCTTGGGTCAATTTAGAGAGAGAGAGCCTCTCACCTTTTGGGGGTTCCTAACCCTTCTTCACCCTTTCATCTCTTCAATCCATCATGGTTTTTTCAAGGCTCCTGAGGTTTTCATGAGACTGAAATTCTATGTATTAGGTGATTTGAGGAAGATGATGTAAACCTTATTAAGGGCCATTTTTGCCGTGGAGGATTGTGCTCTTTTCAGGAGTAAAATCTCCAATTTGGCCTTATACAGCATTATCTGCAACTTTTTTCTGTCCTTGTCTTAGTTTCTCGATTACCTCCTCTTGAGCTCCTCTTCCCACCACCACCTCTTTTACTCTCTCATTTAAACCCTACTTTTAGCTGCTGGTTTCGCCGACTCCCTTTAGACACTACCATGGGCTAAGCAAGAGTATTTGGGCACCATCAAGTTGCCCCAACCACAGCCAATGTTTCTCGTGGAAGGAGTGGTGCTCTGGGGTAGTATTGAACTGATGGGGCTCGGGCTCAAGTACTAAAAAGGAATTGCCAATGCTTGCTTCAAGTGGTCAATGGGGTCGCTAAGGTACTCAGTAGAGTAGGGTCCTCAAGGTTTAGCGGTTGTTTGTATTTCAAGAGCGTTGGTCTATCTTTCTTTGAAGTAGGGATTCTTTCCCTATTTTTCCTCTCAATAATTGTACTTCTAGAGTTTTATCAGCATAGATTAATGAAAACTCACCCTTGACATTCAGGAGAGAGAAAAATACATCAGGGAAACCCAAATTTCAGCAAAATAAATACACGAGGAGAGAGCCCACAGGGTTGAAAGTTTAAAAAGAAGGATGAAAGAAGGAAAAACTATGACCTATCATACATGAACAAAACGATTTTATTATGACAAAGGGATCATCATGTCGCCCACTTACTGTGAATTGTTACCACAAACTGCTTCTTCAATGACCTCACCATGCACATCATGTGTATCTTCTAACAATGGAGTCGAGGCGTGGTCTTTGGAGGTCAAGAAGCTCGGTTGGTTTGTAGAGGACAGCAGCCGTGCCCACATTCGATCTGTTATCACCACCTTGTTTTGTGTCTCAGTTACGCGCTGCAAAAATCGACGATTGACAAAAAGTAAGCGTAAGCTATGTAGCAATTCATAGCAAAGAAAATTATTTCAAACAATCATAAGTTTTGATAAAAAAATGGGTCTAATCTCCTAAAGAGAAAGAACACTTTGCCATTTCACATACATCTCCTTCAGATCTAACTCCAACTCCCACCTGTTTAAAGCATCCACTTTACAATCTAACTCCCCATTCCCAACAGCAAAATATCATTTTCATATTTTTCATTTTCACACACACACACATAGTGCGCGAGGAATACCACTGCCTTCAAGAGACTCTAAGTTTGGAGATACTTACGTAGAAAGGTATATATGCATGTCTTCCATTAACAGGCCCAACAGTAAAACCAGTGTATCCAGCCATAGCACCATGCACAGCGCTGTGAGCCAGCAGGGTGCAATACACATTATCTGATGCATTACTTGGAATGGCACGAATCATATAAGTTGGATCTGTCAAAATTATTCTCATCAGATAATGTAAATTTCAAGCCTTTTCTTCTTTTTCTTTTTTTTTGAAAGTGTTAATTGTAATTTCAAGGATAAATGTTTCAATTAAGTAGATAATCTATGTTATCTCACTGACCTATGTACTTGAGATTTATCACCATCTTCCGTGTAAAATGATCCTGAAACACCAAGGAATTATCAGAAGTAATTTAATCATCATATTTATTTTGATGCTCATTGCTGCTATATCCATTCATCGTCATATTTATTTTGATTTTCGATTCCAGCATTACTTGTCAAAAGAGAATGGAAAACACTAAACAAATTCATAGAATGTATAAAAAAATTGTAGCTTTCCTCTTTAGGGCAGACATGGTACATAGTACCTTCATCTTCCTACTTAATTTAAAATTTGTGTGCACATGGCTTTTGGGGCTTAAAAAATTGGTTTTCCTCTGGAAATTATTGGGATAATATCAAAAAAATGGAAAACAATGTCAAAATAGGGAATATGTAAACATTTCAAGGAAAGCTTTGAAGAGAAAAATGACAAACAAACTTGTTATTATCCTATTCTTTTAATTGTAATAAACTTATATCTAATAAACTAAAAACTTTTCATATAAAGTTGCATTTTCAAAAGTACAACAGAGAAAAAGAGAAAACAGGACAAAAATCTGAGGCACTAGGGAATATTACTTCATCTTAAAAATCCTACCAAATTAGTCCAAATTTTTTGAAAAATATATATTACTCACCCAATAGTATAAACAAACAACTTGTTCCTACAACCAAACATATTAACAAAGAACAACTTAAAAGCAAACCTTGATCTTTTCAGATAACCATAGTCCAACATCAAGTAGCAGCCGGTTTCCTGATGCATCTTGCTTTCCCATTTCCCGAATGCTTTCTGCGACAAGCTCTTGTCCAGCACCTTCAGCCACAACAATCACCATGTGTCCATTCTCTTTCAACCTCTTCCCAATATATTCAAAGAGTCCGCCTTCTCCTTCTAGATAGAAGGGTGATTCTGGAATCAGACAACAATCCTGAAGAAAATAACAACAGGCATTTCAAAGGCTGGTAAGGAATCATAAAAGCTTGGGTAGCTTAAATGACAAAATAAGGAAACTAAGTCAGAAATTTTGAAACCAAGAGATATAGATACACAAAGAATGAGTTCCATAAACAAACAATAACAGAAATTCTACACATTTTTATGCTCCTTATGTATTTATGACTTAAATGTTCATATAAATTTATCGCTCACATTTCTTCCAACCTATCAGGAAGGCAAGCTTACACATTCCTTGCAAACTTACATATGAGTGAACAATACTCTTGCAAAGTTTTAAGACAAAAGAATGAATTAAATATAAGAAAATGGATATACGTGTCACTTAATATAAAGAAATGATCAAGAAAAGTTCTAACCAGTGATTAATTTGAAAACAGAAATTAACGAAGCAGCTCATAAATATGAAAACAAAATGGCTACAAACTAAAATACAACAGATGCTTACCACATCTCGGCTGGCAAGGGTAGCATACATTGCAATGAACCCTGCATCAGTACGTATTTCAGTTCCAACATCAAATTCGAATAAAAAGGAAACCGTGGATAAACATCATATCATATAACAAAAACTATGAAAATAACTTTTCCCAAAGAGGATGTATTTTAGAATCAGCTTAGGCCAGTCAACAAATAGCCACCAAAACTAATAAAAAAGTCATCTTTTAGCCCAGAAAACTTTTTGTTTTCAGAGTTTGATTTGGGATAGTTGTAGCTGATAGAAGAAGCTCGGAAAAGTTCTTACGTAATTCTGTCAGTTCTGATAATTGATCCAAAACTAAATTCCCTTCAGATGTTATGAAACTACTGATATCAAACATCCCATGTTTTTTCTATCATTTCCTGTTTTCCTTCCCCTTGCCCCATTTTCAAGAGCAAGATAGGTGAACATTATAAAGGGATTGTCTACAAAGAGACCATTTAGCTTTTGTACACGGTGGTCACAATCATTTTTGTCCCTTAAATTTCAAAATAGGTGGTTGTAAGAGTGTCATTGAATCGACACAAAGTTCAAAAAAAAAAAAATTCTCAGACTTCGTGACCCACCCCAAGCCATTCTATTTGACATCTAATAAGTGGGAATTTTAAGATACGAAGCAAGAAGGACAAGGACCCTGCTATTTAACAATTTGACACCCTTTTTCTTCAATTCTACTGTTGGTTTTGACCATGTGGCTACTAGGTACATTGAACTGAGGTCACCAGGAAATCCGGATCATTACTAATTAAAATTTATCAAAGAGTAGAGATCACAATCTGAATTCTGTTCTGGCTCCTATGTCATCTGAAGGAGCTATGACAGGCAGGCAGAAAAGAAAGCACAAAATATAAAGAAACAAACTCCCCATAAGAACCCGACGTTTTAGCATTACATTTTCATACAATTTTCGAGATTGGCCAATTATACCAGGCTAAAGATAGATTTAAAAAATAATAATCATGATAGTCAACGAAACTCGATCCTCATAAAGACAGTCAATACAATGAAATAAAAAATAATAATAATCATCAGAGGATGTTAGCAATCCGACATACCGCTATAACGACCCATAAGCTTCACGACCCCAACACCATTCTCAACACTTTCGGCTTCAACATGTGCTGCATTAATGGCACGCTGAGCTTCTTCAACAGCAGTGTCAAAACCAAAAGACTTGTCAATAACCTGAAAGAAACACAGAGAGCTCAAAGACTGTGACATAAAATATATAGGCATCTAATAGGCAATCATAAAATTAAAAATAAAAATTAGTGCATGCTTTTCAGTCTTCAAACAAAAATAATGGGATTACCGGAATATCATTATCAATAGTCTTAGGAATTCCGGCAACTGCAACTTTGATCCCACGTTTCAGGATTTCCTGCATGTAAAAAGGCCATCTTTGAGGTCGGAAACCAGTTTTTGCAAAGTAAAATTAAGCAAGAGAAAACTTCAAATCTTCAAAAAGCAGAGGCCAAGATTGGTAGTGATTCAGAGCAAAGTTGTTAGTACGAATCAAGGACTGAAGACGTGAAACCAAGATTGAAGATTGAGTAACATAGAAATATATTATTGAACTGTTGCAAAGTCTCAGATATGGCTATGCTATTCTTGACACCAGTTAAGTCAAGGGTATCATTATAATTATAAACAGGTGCAAGAGGAAATTTAGCAAGTCAAGGGGCTTGTAAAGAAGTAATATGCAGTGAGAGAAGCTTCCACATGATCAATACAAGCCATGAATTCATAGGAATTATAAACGAAAGCCTTCCTTGTCGAAGTTGGGGCTTCCTTGTTTATATGTATTACCAACTAGTCCATGAAGAAACAGATAAAATATAGGTGTTTCTATCGTCCTACTTCATCAGAGATTATGATTCAACATACAGAAATTTGGAGGCTGATTAGATAGCCCAATTTTTTGTATCTAGAGAAACAACAAGCATTTTGGACTCTTTGTTAATCTTGAAGCATTCTACACTAACATTTGCGAAATTTTCCACGTTTTCCCACGTTTGCCCATTTCTGACAAGGATGAGGAAATCCCAGAAGAAACCACAGCAAAGATGAAAGTTGCAAGCCATAACAGAAAGGACAGCAAAATCATTTAAATCATGGGACACCAGAAGGGATTGTGAGGATTTGATTCAAGGGACAGCTGAATGACTGTTTGGATCTATGGCGGCAAATGAATCAAACAGTGCCCCGTCTTTCGGACTGAGATGGCAGTTCCGTATACTTTAGATTAATCATGTATATTTGCTAATGGCCATTATGTGCAGCTAGTCATGTTCAGTCACCAACTGACATAAAATTAATGACTGATAGATATTTCAAAACTTTTCCAATATTCAGTAACCGATTCCGCGTTTGAGTAAGTGAATATCACTTAATTTCACAATAAGTCAAGCTAGGTGGTAAATTTGATCTTCAGATACACTACCCCAACAAGAGTAAACAATATAGAAGTGGGCATATACTGCTCTCCTGCGGGATCACACTGCCCATCTACTCCCTTGGTCAAAACACCTACTAGGATGGTCTTTTTAGTCTAAAACTTTGGAACCATATAACAATTACTAGATGATTATTTTTAAAACAAAAAAAAATTAAATCTTGAGTTTTGGGACACTTAGATCCAGCCCTTAAAAAATTGGACGGTCTCTATTCAATCTTGAGGCATCAGTTTTTCTTTTGCATGAAGAGTTTATTTCTGGGGGAAAAAAAAAAAATCAAATTATTCTATGGGGTGTAGAGATTACATCCCTGAAAATTGAGATCTAAAAAATAACCCTAGCATGTGTTTTGCCCAAGGGAGGAAATGGATAGTATACTCCCTAGGGAGGAGGAAATCTTTTAGCATAGAAGAAATGGCCATTTACATTTCCCAATTATATTTAGAGATTGTATCCTATGAGACAATTTATCTTTGGCACAAGGAGATCACTACTACCTATAACCATCCGATGTGAAATCTGACAAACTTGAGAGTGTCATAGAGTTCGAAAAAAATTCTTTTGAACTTTTAGCCTATTCAATGGAACAAACACAACCGTACAACCTCACATCCAGTGGTCAACATTAATTGTGATCTCTGTTTACCAAATATAAATGGTCTCATTGCATACTTTTTCGTATATTTACCTCAAATATACAAGCTGCTCCTTTCTGGGTTCCATCTCCTCCAATTATGTAGACCTGAAAGCCAAGAATCTATTAGCCAAAACTTCCACTACATAAACTCATAAGAAAGAAAAATATTTAACTACAAACTTGTCACAATATTTAACTACAAACTTGTCACCAAACAATGACTGAGCGCTGGAAAAACTACTCAGGACTGTGCATACCTGATTAATCCCCCTGTCCTGAATACTATCAACAATCTTAGAGGTATCATGGCCACCTCGGGATGTGCCAATAATGGTTCCACCACGTTTATGAATATCATTAACAAACTTCGGTGTCAAAGGAATGGTATTACGGGAATAGAATCCCTTATATCCTGCCTGTATAAGTCACAATAAAACAAATATATTCAGATCATCCACTAATTTGATTATCATAATCCAAATACAAAATAACATGATTTCAAATAAGTTATCCAGATAGCAATCATCCCAACATGTTTTCTGTTGCATTCCCATTACCTTGACCCTAAGTTGAAGTAATATGTATAAAATTCATCAAGAAGCCAGTGATTCAGTAGCAAGTCTAATAACATGGAAGCCAGTAATTTAGTAGTAAGTCTAATAACCTGAAAAATAAGGTGTATGGCTGATAACATGGAAGCCAGTGATTTAGTAGTATGTCTAATAATATGAAAAATAAGGTGTACGGTTGAGATACTTTAGCTCCCAGAAAATCAATAACCCATAGAACCAAGGTTGTGTAATCAGTATTACAGAGCCACAAAGGATATGCCAATGTGAAAGGATGCCAAAAGTCGAAACTGCATGCTTTTGAGGGGCAGAAAGAGAGAGGTGCGACTGTATATATAAAAAGTCAAGCTCATAAGACAACCTGAAGTCATGGCAAGAACTGCAAATGTTCCAGGAAAGGCGACATGGCAGCAGGCATTACAAAAAAGGGACTGAAACAACTCAAAAGAATGCAAGGAACCAAAACACTAAAAAAGTAATACTAATAATAAAATAAAATAGAATAGCACTGCTTCCAGATCATTACTGCAGGAATGTAACCAATTTATCAAACCTTGAATGAACCCACCTCAATCCCGAGGACATTGGTGACTCCATACATGTGGTATAAGCCACATACTATTTCTCTAATCACAGTGTTGACACCGGGGCATAGGCCTCCACATGTCACAATGCAGGCACTCACTTCGTCTGGCTCAAAATAAACCTACAAATATCAAAAAAAAAAATTATGACAGATGGTTCGCTGATGTTATAAAAGATCATCAAAGGTTTAATAGAGAAGGATAGGGTGACAAAAAGCATGCATACTTTTTCCCTAGGACCTGCACGTCGGAAATGTGTTCCTCTCGGGCTATTCTTATGTACAACAATCTGAATAACAAGTAAATGAAAAGGGATTGAAATAATAATCCTTTGATGATAACTGATAAATGAAGTGTTGCATGAACCCATTTAAACAACAAAGACAGAATATTTCACAAGCAATTGAAGAAACTAGACTATTAAGCAACTCTGTCATTGACATCAAGGGGAAAACAACTATCAAGTACAATGCAAAAAACAACCTGGTATAGAATAAAGGCCCACATTACAGAATATTATGGTAAAATGCATGAGAGGCCCCACCTTTTGGGTGACGGTGTCATCAACATTAACAAAATACTGCCTGGTACAAAAGATTAACCATATTTTAGATGCATGGTTATTATCTGCTCATAACATAGCCAATAAAACTAATCAAAACAAGAAGTATTAAGAGACAATTACTTGGGAAAACTTACGTGACTACTGAATATGATGGATTGTGCTGCAAAGGATTCTGATATGTCTGCAATAGAAGACATCATAGAGTAGAATGATTCATTTACTCTACCATAAGACAAACACGGGAATTCTAATTTGTTACTCACAATCACCACACTGACACCAAAGATATTCAAAATAAGATTTGCTTATAACATCACTATCCTGAACACTTTCAGCACAAAAGGTTTGGTAAGGTCCAATGGGTCTCCCAAAAACACAAAAAAGATTTTACTTTGACGGAAATCGAAATAATCACAAACACAATTGACAGAACGAACCTCTTAAAACCTCCAATAAGGAGCTTATATGGTTTGATAACTAAGGGAAATTTGAACACATACAAACAGGAATGATGAAGTAAACCAGACCTCTTCTAAATATCAAAGGAATAACAGTATAAACGAAGAAAAAAAAATCAATCTTATTAAAAACAAATTAGTGACTAAGAACTATAAACACGACACTCCAATGAATATTATTGGGAAAAAAAATTTCTGTGGAGATCGGAGGAAATGCATGCAGAAAAGCATTAAGTAAACACTATTATCTCCATTGGATGAAAATAGAAATAATAAATTATGTATGCAAGGTGATATAAGAGAAATAATAAACAAAAGAAAAGACAAAACACAGCCTCTCCAAAAACCCAAAAGTTGAAATTAAAGAATGTCAATGATCATTGCAGATGAAATCACAAAACTAAATGGAAAAAAGGAATTGAGCAAAGAAATAGTAATGCAAACTCGAAACTGGTTAAAAATCAAATTATAAATCCCAATAAAGAAAGAAGAACAAAAAAAGTGGCATTCTAGGAAAAGACAAAGAAAGAAGGCGATAGACACAAAGAGGAGTGTCAAAACTCTAGATACTTCAAATACATACAAAAACCGTTAAAGGAAAACTGCAAGAAGAAAAAGACGGACTAGAAATCACTTCTATCTGATTCACGAAAAAAACAAAAAAAAATTACATACGTACAATAAACCCCAGTGAAATAAATAATAAAAAAAAAATCACAAGCGGCAAACAGCCATGATCAATAAGAAGTTGAAGAATAACTGGTAAATTAAGGGGGAAAAGGGGGAGGAAAAAAAAAACTGATGTATAAAAGCTCACTGCCTGATCCATCCCCCATAAAAAAAAATTCAACAAGTAGTTCACAAAACGGACTGAAAAATTCAGTCTTTGCCAATAATTGGAATGAGAGAGAGACAGAGGGATACTAAACACACAGATGGAAAATAAAACAACATATTAAAAAGGCATCTATAAATCATCATGATGAGACAGAGGGAGCAATCTACCTTATAGGAAAATTCACAGAGAGAGAGAGAGAGAAAGAGAGAGAGAGGAAGAAGAACTCCACAGGGAAAAGGTTAGACAAGGGAAAAAATACACAAGAAATGTAATGGTCCCTGCTTCATAAAGCAACATCTTTTAATAAACGCCTGAAACCAAAATAACCCAAACCTCTTCAAATCAAGACAAGGAAAATTTTAAAAAACTAAGCAACAAAAAACCCATGATAATCAAACATAGCGGGAAAAAAAAAAGATAAGCACTCACAGGTAAATGAGGAATGTAATCAGTCAAATGAGGAACATCTTCCAAGACATATCCCCCTTCGCCGGTCTCAATCTTCGGCTGATATTTCCCCATTAAACCCGACCCTCTCTGTTCTCCTTCGGGTCTAACCTTATGATCACAGGAAAAACGATCTCCAAAAAAAAAACAGAGATTTTTCCGATCACTCAAAGCTTTTCAATCCAGTATTGTGCACAAATGGAAGTTGATATTCGAAAAACAGAGTCTTTTCCGATCAATCAAGAACCGTGCATAAATGGAAGCTGCAGAACAAGCTTTGATTCATTCAAATGGAGGCCAAGTAAAGTATAAAATAAACTATGGTCCTTGATACACCAGATGATCTAGGGTTTTTATCAACTGTCTCTCCGATCAATTGAAGTTTCCGAGCGTGTTGCTTTCATTCAAAGAGGAATTGTAAAAGCTCGTCTAAAACCACGGTGCTGGTTGTACAAGGTGGTATATGGTTTTGGCCATGACTCTGTGTACTCCATAATAAAGAAGACAACTTTGGGAAATAGAAAATTCATGGACACTTCACTGTTTCTTTCTCTGCGTGAAATTTAGATTAAAATTTAGAGTTAGAGAGAGAGTGAAGACCTCCTGGAGAATTGAAATTTAGAGAGAGAGAGAGAGAGAGTGAGGAACTTCTGGACAGTTGAAATTTAGAGAGAGAGTGTGAGTAAAATTTAGAGAGAGAGAGAGCGTGCGCGTAAAATTTAGAGAGAGAGAGAGAGTGAGTGAGGAACTTCTGGACAGTTGAAATTTAGAGAGAGAAAGTGAGGACCTTCCGGAAAAGGCGTGGCAGCTGAATGGTGTCATGTGAGTAAAATTTAGAGAGAGAGAGAGAGAGCGTGTGCGTAAAATTTAGAGAGAGAAAGTGAGGACCTTCTGGAAAAGGCGTGGCAGCTGAATGGTAGTCCTGTGATGCCGCCACCTTATTTAGATTCACGGGCAATAAGGTAAAAGAAGAGAGAGAAAATGATGAGAGGAGAAGGCGCGGCTTCGGCTTTTATGGAGCGAAGGATCATACGACACGTGGATCCAGCTGGCCCCACTATTAGCTCCCCGAAATTTCGGTGTCGTAGCAAAAGGTTTTGCAAACTCCGTAGCGGACTCGCGGGAGCAAGTTGTATATTTACTCCCTCGATGAAAAGAGCTGCATGAGAAGACCCCTTTGACCTTAAATTTTGGGTCTATTTTAGAATCATCAGCTTCGTATTTTAAATAAAAATTTGGGTCTACACCCTTTGATCTTAAATTTTTGGTCTATTTTAGAATAATCACCTTAGTATTTTAAAATAAAAATTTGTATATTAAGCAGTGTTTTTCAAGGATTGAAATCAACTTATCTGAATTATACATAGGCTGGAATTCTAGTCCTTCTCGATCAGAACAAGAATATTTTTTATACAACCGGTTGTTCTGTCGGACAACTGAATGGTTTTTGGAGATTCGTTTAAAAGTCATGATATATAAAATTTTTAAAAAAATAAAAAGTTTTTGAGGGAGAAAATAGAGTGCATTTAGCATTTAGGTCCTTTATTTAGGAAAGATAAAACACTGTTTGTTTAGACACCAGGGAATTTGTTGACCCAAATATTGTAGGATGCCTTATTTTCTCTAAATGAATAATTAAATAAATAATATTTTTACTCCTTAAAAGGTTAGTTCTCACCATAGTTAGCAAGTTAGGGATTATCAATAAATCGACTCACCATGAAATCGGAAACTAACGGTTTATATTTTAAAAAGTCGGATAAAAAATAGGGATCCACAAAAATACTTAATGTAACGAGAACGCTAACATATCAAACTAGGCTAAAAAAATTGGAGTAAAAAAATCGGATATATTTAAAATATTAGAAATTTTGAAACTCTAAATATACGTATCACTCAATATAGAAAAAATTAATAGTAGTGAGGAGTAATGACCTCCCTATAAATACAAATTTCAAATATTCAATGTGATTGATAGTTATCTATTCTATTTGTCAAGTATTGGGTAGGTGAATTCAATTTTCATATTTCTAGAATAAATAGTCTACCCATACTTGCTAACCATGGTCTACCCATAACCACCCAAAAAAATAGGCACCATATCCATAGTAGAGAACTAGATAAAGTTTCGGGAGAATAAAAATAAAAATAGAAATAGAAATTTCATAAAATGCGAAAAACGTATTGAACTTTTCAAAAATAAAATCAAAGTATATTAATAGAAAAGTTTTTTTGAAATGATTCTTTCAAAATTTGAAAAAGTCACGTTTTAAACTTTTTTTTTAAAAGACCGCGTATTTTTACCGATCTATTGAAAAAGTCACAGATTAAATCGTTTTTCAAAAATTGTTGATTTCTTGAAAAAATCACGATTAAATCGGCGACTTGCTAGCTATGGTTCTGTCTGCTCATGAAATCATTAGCCCACACTACCGGGTCAAAAAGGCAATTTAGAATGGGAAAAAATATGAGGTTGCAACCTTAAAATGTAAAATTAAAGGTGCACCTCAATAATCCATCAAAAAAAGTTGTTTTAATATGGAAAAACTCTCTAATTGATCATCTCGACATCAAGATGTACAAATATAAAAAAAAAAAAAAAATTGCCTCCCATAAGTAGTGTACATTAAAACACATTATCAAGACCGTTCATTTTCAAGATTTTTATATATTTATACATCTACTTGATTTTAACCATTTTTGGAGTTTAAAATTTTATAATTAGACATAAAAATAGATTTTGAGATAATCTTAACAATTTTTTACGCCAAAATTATATTTTATGATAAAATTTAAAAGTACGCCTTAATTGAATTGTTTAAAGTTGTAACCTTATAAAAACTACACCCTTTAAATAAATAATAATTCGTAAAAAGCTAGTTCTCAGCCATGGAATCATTGCCCTATCTATAGAAGTCAATTTTTTAGAATTTTAGGTTGAAAAAACGCTCATAAGGCTACAAATGAGGGATCATGGACCACTGTAGCCCTCTGCCAATGGATGTACTAAAATATTCTCCAATGATCAAATATGTTGGGATCATATTCACTTTTGGCACAAGGAGGTGAGCCATTCGGCAAAAAAATCCAATAGATTGAATTGTATTAAAACAGTTAAAAAAAAATTATTTTAAACTTTATTTGAGGGGAAAAATTTTCAATAAATGACACATCCATAACTACCTGATTTCATATAAGATGGTTAAATAATAATGCGGGGGAAAACTTATTATACTTCTCCACCTCTATATATTTTACCATTGTCTTTCGTCTCTCAATTGTTCAATCTGAATAGACATTGAGACAACTTTAGACATGATCTTACAAACTGAGCAACTGACGGTTTGATTTAGACCTAATATCTTATAGTATTTTATTTTTAATTTTTTCTACAAATCATATGAACATGAAATTTGTTGAATGGCATCATCTCAATGGGGCGCACGGTAAAAAATATAAAAAGTATTTCCAAAAGAAAAAAATCAAAATACCTTGAAACTTTTTGACATATTTTCGTCATTTTATTTTATTTAGAACATTTTTTATATGTTTCATAGGTGCAAGCTTAACACCTCAAATTTCGTATCAAAATCATTCATTCAAATCATACAGCTGAGAGATGAGGGACGTAGGCATAGGGATTATATATGTTACAGTTGTTTATAACCATCCGATGTAAAATCTGATAGTTTGTATGTATCACAAAGTTCGAAAAGATTTCTTTTAAACTTTGAGCTTGAACAAGGAAATAATGTAGCCAACCAATTTCAAATCTATTGATCATGCTTAATTGTGATCATCTTGTACTAAAGGTAAATGATCTCATTATATATTTTTTCAAACGTAGGGATGTATAATAAATTTGCTCATAATTATGACCTCCTTATATAAAACAATAAGATGATTTCATTATAGACACTTTGAAATATGTTACTTTTGCCAAAGATTACGGTCGATTAGTGGACATAAAGCACTCCTGCAGCATCGAAGGATAAAAAGAGCTTTGGCTTCATTATTACCAAATGTGCCCACGAAGTTAGGCCTGAATTTTGGTCGAGGTCATTGTTGGTCATTATTTTTGCCTATTTTCTAAATATTATGTCCTAACAAAATTATCCTAGGAACAAGGTTCTTGGCCAAGGCAAGTTATTAAGGTGAAGCTTAAAAAATCTAACCTTAATTCGATTTCTATTGCTGAACTACCCCAAAAAAAAATAGATACTATTATATACATTGGGGATTACATTCTTTTATCTCTTCTATACGTGTTTAACTTTCCCCAAATATTAGGGGGTGGCAACTCAGACCCGATGACCGAACCCTATCCGGGTTCGGGCATGGGTCTAAAAATTGGACTCAACATGAATACTCCTATATAGCTCCTTTGCATGTTAGTGCACAACATGCTCTCACATGAGCTTGTTGTATGTGTTTTTTATCTTTATTGGGATTGTATATTATGAGAGTATTTATTTTTTGTACAATGATGTCATAATCATTTTTAGCCATTTGATGTAAAATCCAATATGTGAAAGTGTTTCACAAGATTCGAAAATTTTTGGATTTTGTACCTAAATAATGATACATTATCAACCACCTGATTACAATTTAACGATCAGTGATGATTGTGACGTTTTTGTATCAAAAGTAAATGGTCTCATTTTATATTTTTCTACGTTCTTTAGCTTTGAGCACGGTATAGTACATACTTTGAACCAATGTTTTAACAAGAAGTCGGACCCTGAATCGGTTCCAATTCAATTGATTCAAATTGGGTGATTTCTAACTTGGATCATGGACATGAAAGAAAATAAAAAATTTAAAAATTGGGGATATTGGGCAATTTCTCTAGGACCAGATCCATTAGTTTGGGTTCGAATCAAGTGACTCCAATTCGTTTTTTAAATAAACTGCTTTTATAGCTACTTTGGTTTTTTCTTTTTTTTTTCTAATCTTAAAGTTGTACAATAAATTAAACTTGTTAGAAGAAAAATTTAAGGGAAAAAAAAAAATTGATTTTTCAATTTCGAAGACCTAGATTTAGCCCAACATTAGTAAGTGTACATTCATTGTTGAAGCACATTGATTGTTGACTGACTTTGCAAGAGTAAGTGTACAGTTTGCTCCAATAGAATCACCAAATATAATTCCTTTACATGTTTATTCTTTACCCACGGTTTCTATGAGTACACGTAGAAATGAGTCACCTCTTAAAAATATATTTTTGAAATATATTTTTGGACTTAAGCTTTAATGACATATACTCTCTAACATAGAGATCATGAATACGAAAAAAAGTAAATAAATAAATTTTAAAAATTAAAAATAATAATGCTATTAAGAAAACATTTGGACCGTTAGTTTCGATTGTTTTAAGATGAAATATCTATTTGCATCTATGATTAAGATAGATGCTACCTTCAAGACGGCAAATGAATAAATGCGGTCCTGGCCGCATGAAACAATTTTCCTTATTCTTTCTACTTTTTTTGTCAACCATTTCCATGTGTGACTGACTTATCATCTTGCCATTGCATTTCTTTGTTGCCTTGGAAAGGGTTTACTAGAGAGGGTCAACATTGGCCACAAATTGTTAGATTACAAAGGCAAATGCAATAATTTTGACATGGGAAACCTCTTCACATTTCATGGTAAAGTGGATTTCAAAAGTGACTTTCTAAAAGGCATATAAATTAATGGAAGGCACCTAGAAACTCATACTATATTTCTATAAAGAACAAGCTCAAACTCAAAAAGTCATGGGCCCATGCATT